TGAGCATAAACAAATAAAGCCACTATGCACACGAGGTCATTCCACCAGACCAAGTAACCTCAGATCCCTGTGTCTCAGAGGAAGATGGAAACCTGCATATTAAATATTTCTCTGCCCTTTAAAGAATTTACTTAAATTATCTTGGCATATGAGACTTATTTGCCTTGCAGGTCACCTACCTGAGGGCTCTACCTAACACGGGTCTATCCACTCAGGTGGTGCAGCTGCTGCCAAGACTCCCACTCTGGGGCCCATCCTCTGTACCACCTCCCTGATTCTGTAAGGCACAATTCCACAGGCATCCTGGGAAATACATACCCAACTCTAGCTCCTCAATCGCAGCAGCACCTGTGATTAAAATAAGGGCTTTTCCTAGTCTTCCTTTCAGTAAGAAGCCCAGACTGGACTCACGTCTCTGGTGAGGCTGGTTGCTGAGGCTGAGAAGTCATTATGATCCCATTCAGTTTTCTGATACCAAGAAGTGAGTCTCATTAAGTTCACAGGCTGAACAGTAACACCACCCTTCTCCTAGCCCTTCCTGGAGTACAACTATCAGACCACCTGTCATAAAAGAGGACACGACTCATTTCAAAGACTATTCATCATGCTGTCTGTGAGGAAAACAGATGTAAGAAATGGTTCTAGCTTAAAAAGGCCCTTCAACAAATTCATTATAGAAAAAAAGCCTTTTAGAAATAGCAAATGTCATGGGTTGGTTCTTAAATGCCCTTAATGGTTACATTAAAGCTCGGTCACCATCCAGTAGGAGGTGAAAGCCTTTAAGAGGTAGAATCCAGTGGAACGAAGTTAGGTCACTGGGGGTGTTGGTCTTGAAGGAGTTACTGGGACCCAGGTCTCTTCCTTCCTCTCTTTTTCCTTCTTGGCCACCATGAAGTAGACAGACCTCTTCCACCATGTACTCCCCACCGTGATGGTCTGCTTTGTCCACAGCCCAGTATGACAAGGCCAAGCAACCATGGACTGAAATCTCTCAAACCGGGAGCCAAAATAAACCTTTCCTTCTTTTGAGTTGTTTGTCTCAGGTATTTTGTCACAGCAACAGAAATCTGCCATAGCCAATACTCAGAAAAGGAACCACTGCTATGCCGTAGTGCAATTCTTGTACCATTAACAAAAGTACTGGCTCTAATCCCTCTTTTAATAGTGAACCTAGATCTGTGAATAAAACAAAAAGAGGAAATACATGTACAGAGTAATAATAATTCATGCTTCATTATACTAATGTTGATTTGGGGACAAACAACTGCAATTTGAAATAGTCCAACACCTCTGTGGTTCAGAATGTTTTACTTATGCCTTTTAAAACCATCTGGCTAGGGCCAGGGATTTTAGCTTAGTGGCTCCACAGCCTGCCTCGCAAGCACAAGGACCAGAGTTTGATCCCCCGTACCAAAACAAAACAAAACTATCTGGCTATAACCCTAGCCTCAGTCCACATGTCTTCCATGCCAATATCTTGCCTGTTAGCCAGCTTTCTGTTTTTGTGACAATATACCCAACGTAACCAACTTATAAGAGGAAAGGGGCTTTTGGCTCACAGGTTTGCAGATTCAGTCCTTAGCCAGTTGTCTCATTATCTTTGGGCCTGTGGCAAGGAAGCACCTCTGTGTGGGGCAGAGCAAAAAGCAACAATCACACCAAGCTGTGGTCTAAGCTGTAATGTCTTTATAGTCTTTGAGGGGTACTCAGACCGAAATTGTAGCATCTGTGTAAGTAAAGTACCTGACAAACTGACTCCTTGGATTTACTGTTATTGTTATATGCTGGACAGTGAAAACTATTAGTATAATTTATAGTGGATGGCACCCAACAGGCTAACACAGGCAATCGGTTGTTTTTAGAAACATCATGGCAATGTGGTAATGGGTGTGTGCGCGTGCGTGCGTGCATGCGTGTGTGCCTGCAGGCATTCATACTTTTTTGTTTGTTTTTGTTTTTTTGGGTACCGGGGATTGAACTCAGGTTGTTGCACTTGCAAGGCAAGCCACCGAACCACTGAGCTAAATCCCTGGCCCCATATATATATATATATATTTTTTTTTTTTTCTTTTTTTGGTTTTTTGAGACAGGGTCTCACTATGTAGTTGAGACTGACCTGGAACTCACTATGTAGCCCAGGCTGGTCTTGAACTCATAGCGATCCTCCTGTCTCAGCATCCCGAGTGCTGGGATTAAAGGCGTGTGCCACCACACCCGGCCTCTGCTTTACACCAAAAGGAGCAAGGAGCAGGATAGAGTAAGTAGAAGTGAGAAAAAAACCATAAAGAGGAAGGGGAAATAACTGCTCTGACAGCTATAATTCTCATGAAATAAGCAGCACTCTAGGAAAGGAAAATACTTCACAAGAAATAGAAGAGGAACATAAAGTATATGAAAGCAAAACAGTAGCCCACAGCCTTTTAGTCTCTTTTCCATCTGAAGCAGGAATTATGACCCTGTCTGGTTCTCCCTACACTGTTTCAGGCAGCTGTGATGTACCGTTCACAGTGTGATTTGGAAAAGGCTGCAGGTACAAGGTGCAGACCACCAGTTCAACCTCATATCTGGCCATATACCAGGGGAATAAGAAACATTCCTGAGCTGAAACAAATGTAAGGAGAATGAATACTAGGGGTTCACTCTCCTTGCTGCTCCCACAGATGGCGGGGCTGCTAAACTGATGTTGAGTCATTGTCTGAAATGCAACTAGGCCAAAGAGGGAGTTCAAGGAGAACTTTGTAAAAACCTAGTTTTACTCTCTAAGTAAAGGCTGAGGAGTGGAGTGCCTCTTTGTCCGTGTGCACGTCTCACCCTATAACAAACCCCTTTGGTTTGGAACGAGTCCTTGTTAAAACTGGAAATCCTACCAACACTACTTCTTGAGTGTGCCCAGAACTGTGCTAAGGCTGGAGCTCAAAATGCAAAGCAAAACAAAACAGCACCGGCCCCTCCTTTTGAGGAGCTCGCAGTCTCATGGGAGAGGCAGAAATAACCTCCACATTCTACCATGTTCTACAAGATGGAAGCTCAGGTAGCTGGAGAAGTCATAGAGGAGCCTGTGAGAGCAGAACTGGGTCTGGGACGGTTTCCCTAAAGACACGAGGTCCACCCTGAGGACTGAGGCACGTGTAGGAGCTGGGCCTAGGGGCTGGGAACCAAGTGAGCCAAGCCCAGAGACACACAGCGCCTTTTCCTCCCTGCCACAAAGGGTATCTCAATGCTCATGGTCTGGATCCAGCAAATCACAGAGGAGCAGGATGGCAGAGAGCGGGCAACTGGGGAAATACAATTTAAGTACTGAAAAGGGGCAGTTGCTGAAATACGATTGCAGTATGACTGAAGACGTATATTAAAAGAAGCCTATGGACTTCGCTGGAGAAGTGAGATGGTTAAAACAGAGCAAAAAAACATCCTTTCAGAGTGGGCTCAGCTACAGCAATGGGCATCCTGATCTCCCCAGGCAGGATCTGACCCCAGGTGGCCCCTCAGTCCTAAGCTGCTGTTCACCTCTCGCTCATACAAGCCAGATGGGAAGCAAGCACCAGAGCCTCTACGCCCTGTTGTGTGAGTCCTTCTCCACGCCAGCTGAGGAAGAGATGATGTCACGAGCAACACAACTCACACAGACCTCGACTGGGACGGGGACTCCTTTCCAAGCTGTCTCTATCAGGGAAGTGTGGTGACCAACACGAACACTGCCCTAGTCCCGTCCCTGCTGGAGAGGACGGAGGCAACAATGCCAGAAAACTTTGCTCTCTTGGGCTGAGCTAGAGCATAGTTTTTAATCCCTGGCTTCTTTGTTTCCTTGCTATATGCCTTAGTTTCCCCATCAGACAGTGGCAATTATTTGTGTGTTTTTTATGTAATTTATTGCACATATCCCATATTATTCTTTACCTTACTTTTTTCACTAAAATGCATTTTTTTCTCAATTTTTATTGGTATATATTTGTGATACGTAGTAAATACATTCAAAGTGGGGAACTGATACTTATACTTATCGTATCTTGGTCCTCTTCATTTCCCCTTCCTCCTTCCTCCTGTCTCCCTCACCCCAAGACTCCCAGTCCTTCCAAAGAACCAACTCTTTGATTTACTTCTCCTTTGTATTTTTTTGAAGTTTCAAGTTCATTAATTTCCACTTTGATCTTTATAATTTATTTCCTCCTGTTAGTTCCAGATGTGGGTTGTTCTCTTTCTCAGACCTTGAGTTGCATCATTAGGTCATTTGGGATGGCTCCATTCCTCTGATGTATTTATGTCTTTAACCTTCTCTCTTAGAACTGCTTTCATCGAGACAATGACAATTATAAAATTTTCTCCTCGCCTCCTTATTCAGGAAAGAGAAATTAAACAACTACAACATGCTTTGAGCTCCTTGAGCAACACCCCCATTATGGGGCAACATGACCCAGAAAGCCAGATAGTCCCCAGCTGAAGCGACGGGCTTGGACGACCCGGGCCTCCTCAGTGACTCTGCCAGGTCCTCCTCCACGTGCGGTGTGGCCCGAATCACGCTTGCCTCCCATCACGTTCTCTCTCCACACCCACTGGCTGAGTTACCTGTGAGCGCGAACTGTGCTCACGCAAGATTCCATCTCAGCCCAGCCTGCCGCAGGAAAGATGCGCAGCAAGACCAATGCGTTGTTTGGATCTAAAAACGTCCCTCAAACCCTATGTGTGTGAAAGGTGACTGGACCGTGGGGCGCTGTTCTTAACACCTGAGTGGACTCACCCCTCGATGAGTTCACAGCAGAGGGTGCGGCTAGGTCCTAGAACCAGGTTGGAGGTGGCACAGTGTATATCTGTCCCTGGCTCCCCCCTTCGCTCTCTGCTTCCTGGCTGCCACAGGTCGGGCACCTTTTCCTCTGCCATGCCCTCCTGCCATCCTATTTCTGCCCTGGAGCTGCAGACCGTGAACTGAAATCTTGAGCCAAAAGAAACCTCTCCTCAAGGCGCGGGTGTTGGGCTCCGTGTCTCAGGGATGGGCAGGCGCTCACCTGGGGATGCTCGTTAGGTAGGTCAGCACATTCAGGAAGTCCTCCTCGGGGATGCACTGGAACCCCACGCACTCTGGAAACGTGATGATGGGCGCGCCGTCCCTACCCCGGCCTCCTGCAATGAAAAGGAGTCAGGGCGTCAGCTCGAGGGTGAGGGAGGAGTCATGCGGGCCATCGATTCTGCGGTGCATATCGTCTCAGACTGGAATCAAGGAGACGTTAACACACGGTTTTTAGGAAGTCTCAATTCTTCATGTTTGTTCAGCGGCACTAAGAATTCAACTTTGAGTCCTCTGAGGCTCCTATACCTACCCAGAGTGTAAAAGGTAACACTGATTAGGGAGAGAAGGAAACAGTGCCACAGAAATACAGAATACTGCCCTTCACTTTTGTAGTCAGTAAAGATCAAAGGCCACATTGTGCAGTGGTTAAGAAAACTCTAAAATCACATAGCCTGGCTCAAATCTGACTTTGCCACTTAGTTGCTACATGATTTTGGGCAAGACACCCAAGTAGGAGTTTTCATATATATATATATAGATAGTACATACTTTATATGTGATATATATTTCTTCCATCTATATGATAGGAATTAATACTTGTACCTATGTCAAAAGGCCTTGTGAGGGTTAAGTGTAAACACAAACAAAAAGCTCCTAGGTAAAATGTTTATTAAATATGTGCTCGATGAATGGTGACCATTATTATAATGATTACAAAGAGGAAATAGTCATCCACGCTATCAGATTAAATTAAACAGATGCTGTTCCCAATCTCCTTGCTGCTACAGGCAGTCACATGACTAAATTCTGGCCTTGTAGTTCCCAAACTGTGAGGCAGGAACCGAGGGAGCCCTAGTGAACTCACAGGGTCATCACGAATATTTGAAATTCTTGAAGGAAATCGTAATAGTTCACACCTGACAGATAATATGGATACTACTGGCTTGAGGTACTTCACGACTGACTTCAACATTAAATCACATGATATTCTTTCGTATAATATTATACCATTTGATGAAGCTGGATTTTTGATAGCTCCTGGGATTTAAAAAAATATGTTATGAAATCAATGTGCAGCAAGAATGAGGATTGTGTCGGCAGGTACGTTTGACATTATTGTGGTCATTTAAAAATAATGCTGAAAGAAAACTGAATATTTTCAGTTATATACATTATTTTTTACAGCCACTAAATTGGTAGGACATACCTATTTATTAAGTTGCTTTCACTGTCAGGAATTGCTTTTGGCCCAGGGACACCATGAAGAAATGAAATGCCAAGGTGCTGGGAACTGAGAAAGTTTGGGTGATGCAGCTGCAGCCGGTGAGATATGCGCTGCGCTGGAACGCTGTGTGCACCCCCAAGGTTATGGCCTGGGTGGGGGACCACTTTCAGAGGAAGAATGGCTCCCAAGTCCAGGCCAACCACAAATGAAGTGTGGGCTGTGATTTAATGGGGATCCTGTGTCCCGTAAGGAACCCACAGAAAACGGGGGTTCAGGGATGCGAAGGCAGGCAGTGTACTCCTATGGCTCTCTTAAGGAAGTGCACCCTGTGCTAGGGTAGATGGAGCTCCTTCCTTTACCAGCTGCATCTGGAGGGTGTCAGAGGCAGGACAGCGCCATCTTGGCCCCATCCTCTGGGCAGACAGGGACGTTGGGGACCCCAGTGTGGTGAGGGTCCGGCTGTCACCTGTCTGGCCGCAGAGGGATGCAGCCAGGACTCTCCAACCACGTTTTTAATGGAGTCAAAGCCACGAGGTTTGTAGATTTTTTTTCCCTTTAATCTTGGGCATTTTGTTTCTCTTCTGAGAATGTAACTTGAAACACCACAGAGACAATAATCCTATACAGAGTGTATCTGTGGACTGATGCTGTACAGTTCTATATACCTTCACTGTGTACTTTGTTGCCTTCTGCATAATTTATGTTGCAACACATGACTACACAGTTGTAAATGATGTAAGTACTATAGCATCACTTTTAGTTATATGCAAATAAATCAATTAAAGTGCAAAAGAGAAAGAAAGTAAGTACATCCTGGCCTCACCAAGTGCACCCAGGCTACCTCCCAGCCCCTCTAGTGACGACATCCAGCCAACTCTCTTGCACGCACGCCACACCTCCTGGTAAACACCTCCTGTTTATATTCTGACTTCCAGGGCAATGTGCTTCAGGAGGTCTGTGTCATCAAGACACACATGTTCCTATCACGTAGAGTAGATTAGCAGTATGGGTTTCTAGAGGAGTCTCTTGTGTAGTCACGTGTGTCTTAGACTCTCAGACACCAGGTTCTGGGGGGCAAAGCTGTGTGAGCTTTGTCTGGAGGCTCCGTCATCCTTCTCTAGGGGGTAGCTAGCTAGACACAAGCTGGACCTGGGAGAGATTAAAGGAGGAAGTTCTGTACCTACAGTGGTTTTAGATTCCTGAGTGTGCAGTCTCAAAGCTTCCTGGAATGGGCTCCACACACTGCTTTTGGTTTTCTCATACCTGCCCACTATGTATGATTCAGGGGCCCAAGTGCACTGGCAGAATCCAGGACCCAAGCTGAATGATGCTGACCCCCTCAGGCCTCATTTATACACATCTGCATTGTGGTTCTGATTTCCCTAATGGGGTTGGCCGCCATGCTTGTTCCAAATAAAACCATGTTAGTTAAAAACTCCCTCTCTTGACATGAAGGTGAACTCTCACAGTTGATTCAAAGGAAGTAGCGTTAGTTATCACCCTTGACCATGTCTAAAAATCTAAGAAAAAATAAAAACCCACTCCCACCCCAGTGAAAGCTGCCACCTCTAGGTTCTGTGTGTTTGGACTGCTCCCAAGTCTACTGTCCTTTCCAAAGATGCTCCCCTGCTTGCTCCTCAATAAAGTACTGTGACCCTGACTTTCTGACTCTGAGCACCATCCTGTGGACCTCTTCACAGATTGTCTCAGGGGTCCAAGAGCCCAGAGGCCAGCACAACACAGACACAGTGCAGGTCAGCAGCACACAGCATGTCGCCTAGCCTGTGTTGCTCCCAGACTGTGGTAAAAGTGTCTCTTTATTAATCCCGTATTTATTTAGTCCCCAGAAATGATGTTGAGATTAGATGTTTGTCAGCCTCTGAGAGCTACTTCACTATGGCAAGTGACTAGGATATTCCTGGGGTTTATTTAATATGTGTTCTCTTGGCAGTTCCACACCATGGAAGGTTTCAAAGAAATGTAAATTAAAATTTTTATTTCTAGTAAGGCTAAATGTAGATGCATTATAATATTCTGCAACTTGTATAAACATTTACCAAATGTATGGCTATAACATTTCAAGAAATGAAAACACCCTAAAATATTCATTAGGATGTGATTGTACCCTTTAATTTCACCTTTTTTTTTTTACTACACTGGGGATCAAACCAAATGCCTTATACATACCAGGCAATTGATATACCATCTCCACCCCATTAATCTTATCTTTTATAGTAGACTGAAATAAAGTTTTTCCCACCTAAATGGAAAAAGAGAAGTGGTGTTTTTTTCTAACTTAGTTACCAGAGAAGGCCCACAGTTCGTGGTGGACATCTACCTATGTTGCGTGAGGAACTGGTAAACGACACACAGAGACACAGAAGTGGGTAAAACAAAAAGACATTTACTTTGCTAGCAAAGGATTGGCCTGCACTTGGGCCCCTGAATCATACATAACGGGCAGGTATGAGGAAGCCATAAGCAGGGCTGTGCCAAATGACTGACCTGGGCTGGGTTTCAATCTGCCTTTTATAGGAGTTTTACAATCATGACCTCATTTTAGGTAGTTCGATAAGACATTCCAGTTCTCTCAGCTCCCGTCACAAACCATGGTCACAGACAGCTTAATTTTAACACAAATGTAGCACCTTCTTTGTGGTTAGGATGTTTATCATTAGGCTTCACCTAATTAGCTATTGTAGCCCACAAGAGTGGGGGGTCAGGGTTAGGAAAATAGAACTGCTAATATTCCTTCCTTTCATCTTAACTCTTTTATAGTCATACAATTTACAGAAAGTTTAGGGTTTAGGGTCTAAGTATACTTTGCTTGTAATGTATGGTGATTGTTATCTTAGTTTGAACATCTGGTCTCACCCTGGAGATGCTTAGTCTGGCACCTGTTGATCTTATAACATTTTAAACTGTGGCTACATGCCTTCAAACTTTGTAGTTAATGATGAAACCTCTGGTATTGTTCTCCTAAGAAATAAGCAAAGCAAAGCAAATTACAGCAGTGAAAGACAGCGGTTGTCCTGTGTTTCCTTAACATTTTGTAGGCTTCAGGCTATTTACAGAAGTTCTTTTTATCACCTGCTTGAAATTCATTCTAAGAAGCTAAAGCATCCAGGAAACAAAACTGGGCTATGGAAGCACAACCGCTGACCATTCACAAGGCATTCAGTGCCACCTTGTGAGGAAATCCAGTAATGCAAGAGGAAAAAAATCCCGCTCAGGGTAGACAATGAACCTCAAATTATTTGATACCAAGAAAAATGGTAAATTAAAAAAAAAGAAAGAAAAAAAATCCTCACTTCTCCTAGTGTGATTTTTACCTTTTCTTTAAGTGGAAAGCTTGACTTCAGAAATAAGTGTGTGGGGTACACAGTGATTCTTATAAGGGCCTGGGCTGGCTGGCATGAAGGCTTGTGCCATGTGGAGCAGAATGTGGGATGCTGGGATGTCCTAAGAGGAATAGGGGAAGGCCAGCTCTAGGGAGGAGGTGAGGCCGCCATGGCCAGCAACTGCCCAGCACCCACTTCCCCTGTTCTCTTCCACAAAGAACTGAACACATTTCCTTTTGCTGGGGAAATGTCAGAGCCATTGGCAGGGAGGCACTGTGGAAATCCCAGGGCCTGGGATACTGAACCATTCTACCACCACCACCACCAACAGAAATCTACAAAAACAAAACAAGATAAACAACAGTTGTCCATATTCCTTTAAGTTGTAGATGTCTTATCAGATGCTTGATATAAATGGAAAATCCATTTATAAAGCTCTGGATCTAGACTCTCTGTTTTACCTATAATCATAAAGAACTTGAAAAAAGAAGAAAAAAAGAATTTAAAAACAGTTTTAATATACACCGAGTTTCCCAGGAATGCAATTATCCTATCAATTGAGGAAAGAACTGGGCTCAGGATTTAGCTCATTGGTTCCACCGCCTGCAAGCTCAAGGTTCCAAGTTTGATCACTGGTAAAAGGGAAAAAAAAAAAAATCTGCCAGTTAAGGAAAGAATTTTATCTTGTTCCAAATTTAAAATTCAACAATAGTTTGCTGTTTCAGAAAATACTCCAGTAAATCCACACCAGACCCCAGCATTCCCACCTGTTGTATATACTTGGTGGCCCACACTACAGGAATACTATTTCTTATTATTACTATTGAAATACATATTGTTCATGTATATATTATTTTACTATGGTTACTTTCCTTTATTTCTCCTTTACATTACATCGGGAACTCCACAACCCTAAGAGAACTTATTCCTTCAATATTAATCATTTTCAAAAGGATTAAGCTAGATTCAGATTAAATGATTCCAAGAGAAAAATTCCAAGAAAAAAAGAAATGTGAAAGGGCAATTCCGTGTAATTGAAGGAAAGGCCTTATGACCCACATTGATATGTGGCTAATTCATTCCCAAACCTCTTTCCCCCTGACCACCTTCCATATGGCAATTAGAAAACTAAATGCTTGCTTTTTAGATTCTCTTGCGGAGAGGAATGGTTACATGATAGTTCTGGAATGAGACTTAGGTAGAAGTTAGTCAAAAGCTTTGGGGGAAAGTTTCTGCTCTTCCTGGCAAGAGGAACAGATGAAATTAGCATTGCTTCTTCTTTTCTTTTATTTCTTCCTGCTGTGGACACAGGCTCAATGTCTGGAGCCACAGGAGTCTTTTTGGGATCAAGACTTAAATAAGGAAACATTAAGAGAGTCAGAAAGATGCCAGCCTTAATACTATTGAGTCCTGATTCAAAACTAGGAGTTCCTATCTCCAGATGTCCTATGTAGTTCAAAAAAAGGTTGTATAGGCAAAGTTCTCTTGGAGCGAGATTCCATGCTTTCCTTTAATATGACCCATTTTATATACAACAAATTGAGTTTCAGAGTAACCTACTAGTGGAATGTGAACCCAAAATTTTCTGAGTCTAAAGCCTACAGCGTTTCTACCATGCTAACCAACCAATGTCTCCTGTTTCAGCCCTGAACTCAGAAATGTTCCACACTGACTGAACATGCAGGCTGCCTTCCAAGCAGGAATTGGATGATACCCAGGGCTCAGGCCTCTGGTGGTTCTGACCTTGAAAGACGCCCTGGGGAAGGGCTGTGGAGGAGAGGGGTGAAGTCTGTGAGGAAGGTCACGACTCGGGGTCAGGCTTCGTGCAATGGGCCTTTGCTCTTCTACACACATGAAGCTGGCCAGGCCACCAGAGTCTCATTGAGAAGAGTCTTTGTCCTTTCCTCCACAGTCTTCCTGACCAATAAGTCTCTGGCTCTTTCCAGAGTTCAGTGGAATCTACAAAATTCTGCAGCTGAGAAATAAATGTTCGCTTTGCTTTCCTGAATCAGGAAAAGGAAAATGGCTATGATCCAGAGCAGCCTTCAGGCTGCCATAGACATAAGAAAAGACCTGGTCGCAGAGATTTATGGTTTTGGACACAACTAGTCAGGCACCCAACACGGCCTCAGAGCTGAAGTCTGCTGTCTCTGCCAGGTAGAGAGGGACGGTGGACGCTGAAAGGCTGCTCATCCCAAAGTGCTCCTTCAGAGCCGACAGTCTTCAGACTCGCAAGCACATCACAGAAAACCAAGCTTCTTTCTCATAAGGAGAGCAAACTCACATGAGAAAAGAAACTCAGAAATGAAGGGTGATCTTCGCTAAATCAGAGGCGTCCTCTGGGTCTGGCATGAATTTTCCCAGCTCTGTTCTACACGGTGGGCTGACAGTCTGCTCCTGACTTCCTGCTGGCATTGTATTCATATTCACTGTGAATATGGCTTCGTTTCCTTATTCTTTTAAAAAACTGTATCATACTGAAAATTATTTCTGGTAATAAAACCTTAAAACAAACACCTTATGGGAATTTAAAATATATCAGGAAAAAATGGTGGACATTTATTTGGCAGTTGTAATACTGGGTATTTTTTTATGCATTTTGTCATTTAGTAGCCAAAATTGCAATGGCCCCACTGTACAAAGGAGGAGATGGCACTTTAGAGAAGTAAACTGCCCAAGGCGACACTGCAAGTAAACAGCAGAATCCAAGTCTTTATCTAGACCTCTCTGGTACCAGTTCATGTTCTTCCTGTACTACCTCTAAGAAGTAAGCGTGGAAATACATACCCCAGTGATAAAAGAGATGCACTGAACCACTTACAGTGCACCCTTGAGTTATGACCAGCCTGACAAATGAACAACCTAGGCTATGACCAGAATTTTAGTTTTAACTGAACAACCAAAGTCTTGAGTTATGACTCAAATGCTAGCTGCTTGTGCTCCTCGTGGTCTCAGATAGAGATTTAACCCTTGCAGGTTCTGGAAGGAACATGACAACATCCTTTCCTGTGTGGCGCTGAGAAATCCTGGGCCAGTGTCTCTCTGAGGACACTGAGATCGCCTGTGTACAGGAGACAGACTTTGAAGGCTGTGTAGAGGAGCCTGACCCTTCACTGACCAAGCTGAGTTTCAACCAGCCCCAGCGAACTAACTGAGTTTGTAAGTCCAGGGTCCACAGAAATGTATCAACTAATCAACCACAGGACTCCTGTCTGAGATGTGCCATTGCGGAATTATATGTGGCCATTCGAGTTTGTGTCAAGGCTGTAGGAATCCACCCCACTCCTTCCCGTGATCCACTGAAGACCTGACACAAGTTGGCCTTGGGGCTTCTGTGGGGCAGGGCCACAGCAGCAGTTTCCAGGATCCCAGGGGATAGTCCCCTTCTCGCCCTTTGTCTTGCCAAGCCTAGGCTCACCCCAGGAAGCTACAAGGCTGCCTCGCTGAAGACTCTGACTTGCCAGTTTATTCCTCTGTAACAAGTACCTCTGATCTCACCATTGTAATACTTCCAGATTTGGTCCAAATATTACGATTTAGAGTTGGGTACTGATATAGGAAATGATATCAGGGGTTGAAATAGGACCTCTAAATGATATAAAGGAAATATTATAGTTTCCAACCTGTTAGATGTCTTATATGCTGAGTTTGTGTTCTCTAAAATTGAAGAACAAACCCTAGGAACAATGGAAGTTAAGAGTAGGAGGCAAAAGAGATCCCAGATGGGTAGCTGAGGATCCCACTTTACAAGAAAGTTTTACAGAGCAAAAACCACATGGGTACAACATGGGTTACAGCTATGATCAACCAATAAGGTTACAGGTATAGTCATATAGGTAACAGTTATCCAATGGAGGACCAAGTCATGCAACAAGTATGCATGGAAAGTATGAAGATCCTTTTCTAGGAAATGACGGGTCCAGAGGTCTTGGTCACCCACCAGGGTGACTGATATCTATCTAGACTTCATTAGGCCCTGTGATACCGCTTACCCTGTCCTTTGGGGAAATATGTAAACCGGGTCATTTTGAATTTATCTTGAGGCCTGCTCTCCAACAGATGTGTCTCCGGCCACAGCTGGGATGTGTTTCTCTCCTGGACCTAGCCCTGTCTGACTGCCTGTAATATTTCCACCTAACTCAGCGGTCTATAGTAGATTGTACCTCCTAAGTCATGCACGCCACTCTCAGACAAGTGAATAAGAAAGAATGGGACTCGAGTAGTGACAACTTTTCAGTCTTGCTCCTGGACTCAGAACATTTCCAGCCTCTTATTAATATCAACCTCTGGTTAAGCCCAACCAAATGCTTGATGGGAATCCTTGGAAGATCTAAGAATAAAAGCCAAATGTCTCAGAGAACAAACAACCTTAGGAAGTGCCCACAAGTCCTTCAAACCAAGACTCTCTTGAGGCTGAACTTGGAACAGTATTCAACAAAAACAGTGGCAGAATGTCACGGTGCCCACTGAGGTCATTAGTTATTAGCTTGTCTTTCTTCAGGTCTTTTCAGCTCCGTTCTTCACAGCCTCAGAGTAAGGCACTCCTTGGGGGAAGACCTGGTGCACCCCAAAGCAAAGGGAACAGCATCCAGGAGATCCTACCCTTCTCCAGCAGCGCATCTTCACCGCATTCTGGCCCAGATGAAGCTTGGGGGGTGAGGGGGTTGGGCACAATGCTCATCAAAGCTCAGAACCCCTGTCCTCCCAGCAGGAACCCCAGGGAAACGTGGAATGCAAATGAGTCTGCCCCTTACCTGAAAGAATGGCAAATTGTCTGTGAAGTTGTTCTATTATATCCGCTGCCACCAAGGGCCTGACTTCCTGCTGCATAATTTCATCTGCATGAAGGAAACACAAATCAGGTTAAAACACTGTGGATTAAAAAGAGGCATTCAAAAGAGAAATGTAAGGCTCCATTACAAGGGGGAAACTGGAACTTAACTGGATATAATGTGGGTATACCACACTCGATTCCTGAGATGCAGGGTCAAGTGTGTGGTGTGTCTGTGTGTGTATTCTTTTTTTCCTTTTTTGTACAGGGAATCAAACTCACGGCCTCGCGCTTGCCAGGCAGGCGCTATGTTGCTGAGCTACATCCCCGCCCGAGGTGTGACCCTTAAATATACGAAGAGAGAGGCCTAGAGCCCCACCCAGGATGTAGGGCAGGACAAGGGAAGGTCGGGGGCCCTGAAGTTTCAGCCCCACAGGACGTCTGGTATCCCAGGCAGGGACCTCCTACTCCACCGGGTCTGCGGAAGGACACCTGCCCACCTGAGGGCGACCGGAAAACCTTCCAGGCCCGGTCCTGGAGCCGGAGGTTGATGGGAGCTCTTTGGTTTTTACTTCCTTCTCTCTCCCACTCCCTTCCTTCCTCCTTTCCTCTATTTTTCTCCCTCCTTCCAGTTAACTAACAGGTCACTTCCTACTGCCAAATGTGTTTAAGGAGGCACAGGCCCATGTTGCTATGTAAAGATTCTCCTTACTGAATATAACTTTACAGGTCCCTGATGCAAAAATTCAAACCCTTCAAGTATAAATCTATGAACATCTGCTAACCCTAACGAATGGTTTATACGCCCTGTGAGAAGCATCTGCAGCTGCCACAACCCAGAGACTATTGTAACTGTTCGTCACCACCCCAGGAGTCATCTCTGCCACCGGAGAGCTGCACCGTGGTGACTCAGGGGTCCACTCTAGGTCCACTGGGGAATCGGGGTTAAAGAGAGAGGAAGACTGAGTGGAATTCATTAGCTAGGAAAGAAAGCTCAAGCATGCGCTCTCTCTCCATCATTGGGATGTTGTGCCTTTACATGATAGGTCTTGGTTCTTGTTTTTTCCCTGCACCCCTGCCCTTCCTTCACCCGCTCCACCCTTCCCTATTTACAAAGACTTTGTTTCCATTTTTTCCTTTCCCTACATTCCTTTCCCTTCCCCCTCTTACTTCCCCTACTTTAGACCTTTTCAGCCTATTTCACATTATCAATTATACATTTCAATCCTTATTTACACTTTTAGTTTTTCATACCAGAGAAACTATTCAGTATTTACACGTGTCCTATTTATTTCACTTAAGAGTATGGCCTCAATATGCACCCATTTAATTATAAATGTCTCCAGTTTTTTGTTCTTTATGGCTTAGTACTCCATTTCATAAAATCAAACAAAACAAAACAAAAAAACACACCTTCTTTATCTAGTCTCCAACTGATGGGCAAGTGGGCTGTTTCCAAGTTTTAGCTATTACAAACTGTGCCCCTATAAACATGGGTGTGCATGTATCCCTGTAGTATGATTCTTTTAAATCTTTTGGAAAGATACCCAACAGAGGGATAGCTGGGTCAAATGGGACCTCTATCCTAGTTGTCTGATGTATCTCCATATAGATTTCCACAGTGCTTGCACCAGTCTGCACTCCCATCAACAATGGAGAGGGTTTTTTTTCTCCCCACAAACCCACCAGCATTTGTTATTGGTTTCTTTCTTGATAGCAGCCATTTTTTCTGTGGTGAGGTGGAATCTCAGTGCTGTTTTCATCTGCACCTCTAGAATAACTGGTGATGTTGAACGTTTTTTCATATATTTATTTTCTGCTTTATTTGCTTCATATATTTATATGCTTTTTTGCTGAGAAATGCCTGTTCAAGTCAGACGCCCATTTTTGAATCGGGTCTTTATATTTGGGGGTGTCTAATTTTTTAAAGTTCTTTATATATTCTAGATAATAGTCCGAGGAACAGCTGGTAAAAAATTTTCCCCACATTGTAGGTTGTCTCTTAGCTCTGTTGGTAATCTCTCTTGCAGTGCAGAAGCTTTTTAGTAAGATGAGATCCCAGTTGTTGATTCTTGGTGCTAGTTCCCATGCTACTGAGGTTTTATTCTTAAAGTCTTTTCCTATGCTAGTGTTTTCAAGAGTTCTACATAACTTATCTTCCAGCAAGTTTAGTGTTTCTATTTTAATATTTAGATCTTTCATCCACTTCAATTTTAGTTTAGTGCATGGTGAAAGATAGGGGTCTAGTTTTAATTTTTGGCAGACTGAAATCCAGTTTTTCCAACACCACTTATTAAAGAGGCTATCTTTCCTCCACTGAGGATGGTTGGCTCCTTTGTCAAAGATGAGACAGCTGAGTACATCTGGAGTTGTTTCTGCATCTTCTAATCTATTCCACTGATCCTTAGGTCTGTATCTTTGTCAGTACCATGCTGTTTTTATCACAGTGACTTCATAGTATAGTTTTAAGTCAGGGATTGTGATGCCCTCCCAGGGACTTTTAAAGAATTAACTGCTTATTGTTTATATGAGTTAAACATCTGTTTAGATCAAGGTATGGATGGAACAGACTTCTGTGCTGATGCTAAATAGAGAAAAATTCCTACTGACTCAGTTCAGAACTATGGTAACATGATGTGTGTGTGTGTGTGTGTGTGTGTGTGTGTGAGTGTGTAGCACTGGGGAATGAATCCAGGCCTTTGCCCTAAGCTACATTCCCAGCCCTTTTGCCTTTTTGAGATAGGGTCTCACAAGTCACTGAATTGCCAGGGGTAGGCTAGAACTTTTCAATCCTTCTGCCTCAGCCTCCTAGAGTGCTGGGATTATAGAATTACAGGTGTTTGCCACCACACTCAGCCTGTTGTTTTCAAGATAAGGGTCTTGCTTCATACGTTGCCCGGGCTTGCTTCAACTCACTGTGCTCCTGAATCAGCCTCCTAGCACACACCTGGCAGCTATTCTTCTGTTGATCGATTGGAAAGTAACATTTGGGAAACTCCTGTGAGTCTTAGCTTCTATGCTCAGCTTTGGTGCGAAGGTTAAAGAAGGTGATGTTTATGGAGCTGCACACAGTCTGTGTTCAGTCAGTAAATGAATGCTAGTCAGATCCATTCCTCTGATCAGAGAACAAACATTCTCACATTTCTTTCTGAGAATCTTATAAAGGGTAGGCCAAGTGCCAGCTTAAGCCCCAATATCCTTCTCATGAATTCTATCATTCTTTTTTCTGGGGGAAAAAGGTAAATCCAGACTAGAGCTCCTTTACTCTAAACCCCTTCCATCCTAAGTTCACTAGACTCCAAAGAACTGCTTCAGCACTGTTAATTTGGGAGAGTATAAAAATGTCTCTGTAGCTACATGTTTAAAAAGGGGATATTTCCCAACACAAATACCCCAGCCTTCCCTCTGCCAAAAGTACACATGGCATAAGGGAGGGCAGGTGAGGGCCAGGGATTTAGCTTAGTGGTTCTGCTGCCTGATTTGCAAGAGCAAGGTCCTGAGCTTGATCCCTGGGACGAAACACACAGGGAGGGCCGATGAGACAACATTGACAAGACAGGGATGGCGCTGAAGCATGGCTTTGGTCCGTGACAGTTCATTACATAATTCTTCAGCATGTTTCAAACTTTCCATACTAAAATGTAAGATGGAAATGGACAAGAACACAGAGAAGGCCAACAGGCGGAGAAGTCATATAACGGAAGAATTTATCTTGCAGGGTCTAGGAAGCAGCATACTCGCAGAGCTTGGTTATTTTTTCATTTCTGAGGAAGCATATATATGAGATGATGAATCCAGAGGAAAACAAAACAAAACAAAAAACTCTAAGGTGTGATTCACTGTTCCTTTGCTTCAGTCTCTGGGTTCGCTGTAAATCCAATCAAGCATCTTAAAGATGTAAGATCTGACAGACCAGAGGAACAAGCCTGTCATCTCCCCACCCATCTTACTTTCTGAATGGAGAAATGGAGACCCAGAGAGATTCTGAACCTGCCTGGGTGACAACAAACCAAGTGTGGAGTGTGGGTCTCACCGACTTGGAGAGGCGGTCCATACGTGACCTAGGTCTCAGACCCAAGAGCGCGTGCAAGGCTCCTTTCAGGCCCCAGAGGTGACCAGCAGCCCTCTCCTGGGAATCTGGTTTGCCTGGACCTCTCTCACAGCCCTGTGTGCTTACCTCATGACCCGAAAGCGATGACTTGCTCTCAGAACAGAAATGAGCGGGTGCACTTTTGGCCCAGGTTTTGCTGAGAGTGCTTGGCCCAGCCTGGAATGATGTGGTTATCTTCGAGGCCTTCCCAGCCAAGGTGCCACATGACTCGAGCTGGCCCGCTGTGGTGGGTCAGGAGGCTCCACGCTGAGGCTCTGACTCAGAGATGGCTGCAGGCACGCCCGGCATTCAGGGGAGCCGGGTCCTTGTGGCCTGCTGGGGCAGGGGCAAGCTCAGCTCTGCCTCAGGCTGGGCAGCAGGAGGCACAAGGCCAGGCCTGCTGCTGGCAGGCTCTGCTACCCACTCCGCATGGGTGGGGCGGGGGACGTACAGGTGCTCCTCGTTCCCCTGCAGTGGGAAGGGGCTGGCTTCAGAGCCACACAGCCCTTTCTGTCAGGCCAATTCAGTCCTGCACCCTTATCCTCACCTGTGAAACGCTTCCTTCCCTCAGGGGCCTCCTGGTCCTATGCACAGGCTTCCTGCTTGCTCCTCGCCACTTCTGGTGCACATGTATTAGGGGGAAACCTGTCCCTGGGTAATCATGCAAGGCAAAGGGAAGAGGTAATTCAATCTCAACCCAATTTCTTCTCTGGGCAAAGTTACAAATACACTAGAGAAAAGCTTGCCTCTTTTCTATCCCTGATAAATATACAGAAGTGGGACTGTGTCTCACCCTGGGCCTCTGATTCCAGAAGTGCAGAAAAGATCTCAAAGGCCACACTGTCCCCAGCTTCATGGGTGATGGAATAAATGGTCCACATGTCCCAAGGGAACTCAGCTGCAGGCAGCAAGGGGACCCCTTGTGCACCCCACTTTCTGGTCTGAGAGCAACGTGGGCTCTGAGCATGGTCCTTCGCCTCCCACTCTTGCTGCTCTGACATGCTTGTCACACTGCAATTTAAAAGGCACCAGTATGGTGGGGGTGGGGCACAAGGCGGGAGCTAATTGAATAGGGGACGTCTGGAGCGGCGTCACGGTCGGCCTAGCCAATCAGAGCCGCGGGTCAGCTGCGTCTGTAACTCGGCCACGGAGCGGAGCCGTGCGTCACACACCTCTCGGGCTGGTAACAATCCTCTTAGCCCCAGCCCCCGCTCGGAACCGGGCCCTCCCGCCTCACTTTGCAGAGTAGCCGGTTTAATCAGGCGGGGATGCCAGGACAGGGACGCACCATCCCCATCGCGACCTCCTCCAGGCAGCCGGGCCCTGGCACCCCGCACCCCACAGCCACACGGGAGCTGCCTGCCCCGGAAGCGTCTGCAGACCAGCGGGCACGCATCTCCATCTCATGGGCTGTCCGCGTTTCCTTCCTCTCATCCTGTGTTGCGGTTATGCCTAGCCTGCCCCGGGACAGGTTAGTACTGCAGTCTTGTCCATGACTTAACAAAGGATAAAAAGCCTTCAAAAAACAGGCCAAAGCGTTTTTAGGAAAATTTTGAAAGATTTAAAAACCCAAGCCACTGAAAAACACCCAACTTCCTAGGAGTCAGCTAATATAATTAAAACAGCAATAGAATTCAGGATGGGCATCCTTACTCCCCAAATCCAAAGTATTATGAGCACCAATATGACACCAGCATGACTGTTTCATGCATAAAATTACTAAAAATTTTGATACGCCATGCATGCTGGCACACGCCTGTATCCCGGCACCCTGAGCGGCTGGGGCAGGGATATCAGACGCCTGAGCCCAGCCTGGGAAGACCCTGTCTCAAAGTCAAACACTTTTTAAAAGTGGACTTGGGATGTAGATCAGTACAAAGGTTCAATCACCAGTACTGCCCCCACAAATAAAAGTATATCTATATATAATTATCCTGAGGCTATAGGTATAAGGTATATATGAAAATAAATGAATTTCATAATTAGACTTGGGTCCCATCCACAAGATAGCTCATTAGCTATATAGCTATACATTAGCCATATAGTCCTAAAGCTGAAAAAATGCAAAATTTGAAACACTTCTAGTTCTAAGCCTTTCCATACAATAACTGAGCTGCTAATACTCAAGGCTGCTGTTATATGGGAAAATAGCACTTCTTTATTTCCTCAGGGAATGAGGTAGGCTGTGTTTAGGAAGCAGTTTCATGGTATTTTACCCACTGACTACTGAGCACTCACATGGCTGATTCTATTTATCACTGAGCCCTCAAGAGAACTGTAAGGGTGACATTGAACCAGATTTGAAGTAGCTCGTCCACAGACCCAGAGTGTAAACTTGAACCCAGCCTGATCTTAACTCTACAGTTCAACCTCTTAACTACTCTTATTTATACCTTCAAGACTCTTTTAGCCATTTGTTCTATATCTAAAGATGTGTTACAAGAATATAATAAAGACTTTATAGGTAATAACATAGAGAGTATTATTTATAAGAATGAGGAAATGGAAGCAATAATTATACATTATGAAGGCCACATCCACAGAAGATGATTTAGGATATCATGTCAAGGACAGAAAAATCACTGCAGTCAGGATTACAAAGAAAAGAAAAAGCACACAGCAGTATTTGTGCACATGTATGTGTATATATGAGATCATATGATGTGGTTGTGCTAAAGAGTTGGAGCCATATATGTTGAAGAGTTAGTGCCCCTTTGGTTCACATACAGAAAAATGAAAGTGCTCTGGTAGCCTTTATTTTTATACAAACAGTACTTTATTGAGGCATAATTTAAATGCAGTAGAATGTACAAATCCTAAGTACACAACTTGATGAATTCTGACCAATGTGCACACTGATGTAGCCATGTTACAGATCAAGATACGCTTTCTTTTTTTAATTTATTTTTTATTAAATTTATTGGTAACTTTTAGGTATACAGTACAGTTACATTCATCATTGGGATCTTGTACCCTTGCATGATGTGTCTTGGTTCTTATTTTTTCCCCATTCTTCTGTTCTCCCTTTACCCCCATCTATCCTTCCTTATTTAAAAAGGTTGTTTCCATTTTTTCTTTTCTCATATTTTTTCTTTGCCCTTCTTTCCTTTCCCCTACCCTTCCCACTTCCCCTACTTCTTTAGACCTTTTCTTCCTATTTCACAGTATCAGTTATACAATTTGAACCTTATTTACACTTTTAGTTTTTCACACCAGAGAAACTGGTATTTACACGTGTGTCTTATTTATTTCACTTAAGAGTATGGCCTCAATGTGCATCTACTTAGTTATAAATGTCTCTAGTTTCTTGTTCTTTATGGCTGAGTAGTACTCCATTTCATATACAAACAAACAAACAAAAAAAGCCACATCTTTATCCAGTCTCCGGTTGATGGGCAATTGAGATCTTTCCAAGCTTTAGCTATTACAAACTGTGCCCCTATAAACATGGGTGCACATATATCACTGTGGTATGATGCTTTTAAATCTTTTGGAAAGATACCCAGCAGAGGGATAGCTGGGTCAAATGGGACCTCTATGCTAGTTGTCTGAGGTATCTCCACATAGATTTCCACAGTGCTTGCACCAGTCTGCACTCCCATCAACAATGGAGAGGGTTTTTTTTTTTTCTCCGCACAGCCCCGCCAACATTTGTCACTGATTGATTTCTTGACAGCAGCCATTCTTTCTGTGGTGAGGTGGAATCTCAGTGTTGTTTTCATCTGCACCTCTAGAATAAACAGTGATGTTGAAAATTTTTTCATATATTTATTTGCTGCTTTTACTTGTTTGAGAAATGCCTGTTCAAGTCAGATGCCCATTTTTGAATTGGGTCTTTATGTTTGGGGGGTCTGATTTTTTAAAAGTTCTTTATATATTCTAGATAATAGTCCTTTGTCTGAGGAACAGCTGGTAAAAAATTTTCCCCACATTGTAGGTTGTCTCTTAGCTCTGTTGGTGGTCTCTCTTGCAGTACAGAAGCTTTTTAGTAAGATGAGATCCCAGTTGTTGATTCTTTGTGCTAGTTCCCACACTACTGAGGATTTGTTCATAACATCTTTCCTTTTGCCAATTGGATGGACCACTTTCATCTCCCCAGAAAGTTTCCTTGTGATTTCTGACCCATGCCTGGCACTTGAAGGCTCCATGCATCACAGCTTCCCTTCCGTAAGCACACAAACAGGTGCCTCTGTCACTCAGGATCCACAGCTCAGTGCGGCAGGGTGCACAGTCGCCATGAGCGTCTACTCCCTTAGGCTGGCCAGGCCTAGGAGATAGTCCAGGCCTCTTGGCCGAGGTCTCAAAAGAAAAGGCGACCACATCTGGATGCTATGATGGATTGTGGGCTGTGTTACTGCCGCTCTCGGGGACATGCACTGCTTCAGAGGACAGGGAGGATTTGAGCAGCGGAAGTGCTTAGGTGAGAGAAAAGACAAATTAGTCAACTTGTCAGATGCTTCTTTTGGGGCATGAATGCTGTAGATTCTTATGGAATGCAGTATTTTGTCTAGTGGTACGAGTAGCAACTCTGCTTTCTTTTTCTTCTAATTTATGATGCACTTAAACTCATTAAACATGATTACATTTGACTTAGATCACAGCTACTTGAGATCACTCTCTCACCAGAGCTCAAATAATGAGAAAACCTCACTTAATAACAATATAATTATTCTGCTGACGTGAAGGCAAAAAATACATTTTAGTGGCTAACTAATGACTTAGGGACTATAGATACATATACTGCTCACTCAGGTATCACTGACCTATCAACAATACTCAGACAATTTAGTCATTTTGAGATTTTACATTTTCAGTCACAGAGAAATCACAGCTTTACATATATTTTAATTTTTTATGAGTATGTTTGTCAAAGGACAATAGACTATGTTAAAATATATAAATAAGATATAAATAATATAAATAATATATAAAATATACTAAAAACTTTGTATTTAAGTGTTATGTGGGCCCTTGTTTGTACCCTTGTTACAGGCTCAGCAAATCTTGTTGGGGAGCCTACAAAAGAATGCTTTGAGGCCTGGTATGGTAGTATAAGGTGCATGTGGTTTTTGAGTACTTGTCCAAATCCTTTCTCTGGTTTAAAAAAAAATTACAGACAAATTTGATGCTTTTTAAAAGCTTCTTAATTTCTGCTGATATTTCACATTGTGACCTTGTAAGAGACAAGCCCTCCACTGAGGCCAAAGTGAAAGTTTCCATTAGCAATCCTTTGGATTTTAAATGTCTCAAAGACTCATGGGATGGAGGTTTAGTCCCAGCTTAGCTCTACTGAGGAGGTGGTAGAAACTTTAAGAGGTGGGGCTAGTGAGATGTCTGGTAATTGGGAGCATGCCCTCAAAGGAAACAGTGAGACCAAGCCCCTCCTCCTTCTCATCTGCTTTTTCACACCCCTCCCCCCATGAGGCAAACAGCAACTCCTCCATGTGCTAACCACCATGATGTGCTACTTCACCACAGGCCCAAAGTATTGGGGCCAATTAGCCATGGACTGAATCCTCCAGAACTGTTAGCCAAAACAAAACAAAAAAAACTTTACTCTTTATAAATTGATTATCTCAGTTATTTTCTTATGGTAACAGAAAGCTGACTAACATATTATGCAAAGTTTCCCTTAATAACTGGAAATGGCA